CCCCTCAGAAAAAAATGGCACACTTATTTCCAAGGTAAACATAAACAAATGAAACTGAGCAACAATACCTAAAGAGACACATTGGTCAGTGGCATTGCTTTTTTGCTCATTGGCACATCCTCAAAAGAATGTTGTAGCTTCTTCTACTCAATGCAATACAGTGGGGTTTGCATATGAAAAGGCTTAGTGGACTATTAGCAGTACTGCTATGTACTTATCAACATTTTTTAGTTTCAAGTACTTTAAGAACATATTTAACAAAAGATCTCATATAATAGTTTGCGTTTGACTACTTTAATGAATTACAAATCATCACAGATGCTGATTTTGTCAGGCATAATATAAAAGGCAACCCTTTTGGACTTTGAAATTGGTGTTGTTAAGGAATCTCTGATTGACCATAACTTAATTAATGGGCAAGAAAACATGTTTTTTTTTTTTTTCCCTGTTCATTGTTATTGCATGTTATAGCAAACTAACATGCACAATATATGGTATCCCTGTTTTAAAATCTCAATAAGTAAGAAAAATCTTATATTGGTACTTGTTATAAAATCCAATTAGAACGACTGCTTTGTTAAGACAGTTTAATTACAGCTACACATTCAGAACTGTCAGAAGTAGCTTGTAGCAAAGTTAACCAAGTGATGATTCAAGATTCAGTAAAACAATACTCTTAAGTGGCTTTGGTTTGAAAATATATGAAATGATGTTTTTTTTTTATAGACAACCCCACCCTGAACATCACCATGGCTGGATCATGGTCAATCTGTGTAGGATCTGAGAAATGTGTGAGTAATTTCAAAACAGTGTTGCTAAACACTGTAAAGTCTGTGTCCTGGGTTACTTTTTAAATTTGATTGTTGCTGAAAGATTTTTTTTTTTCTACTACTCAGATGGTGGTTCTTGTGAGCTCTTTGTTTACTCCGTGTGTAGTCTTGCTGGAGTTGTGCTTGAGTAACCTATGCAGGACAGGAGAAAAAGGTGGTGGAGGGTTTTCTGTCTTTCCAAGGTAAGCCAGGAGTTAAAAATAAACATTTACCTACCTACCT